GCCATTGTTTAACTTCTTATCAGACAAAACTTGTTACACGGGTTCACTAATTCGGAACCTTTGTGAACATGTCTAAAAATTGCAAGAACCGTGGTTGCTGGAATAGAACGAACAATCATTGTTGCTTACACAACTGCGAAGTTTGTTATTCCTCAAGTCGACACCTGATGCCAGGCATATGCTATCGAAATCAAAGTAGCCAGGCAGAAAAGGCTCGTTCAACATACAACTCACAGACTTTCCCTGTTCTAAGCTTTCTTCTATGCTGTGTTCGGATAACTAACAGTGGAGCTCCTTATTTCAATTTTAAAACTCTGTGAAAAAACGTTTATATAAAAACTCGGTTAAGTTAATTATGTGAACATGGCTAAGAATGTAAATTTAATCAATAACCATGAACGTGGATTTGGTGCAGAATATTGTTTTCTTCCACTTACGCATGAACTGGATTCAAAAAAGAAACATGAGTGGCTTCATTAGGCCATAAATCAGTCATCAAACGGTCGGAAATATTCGTGGAACTGGGTTTACTGTGGCAGGTGGGTATTGAACATGCTGACTAACTAGTTTCAAATTGAACTCACTCTGCAGCAGATACAGTAACGCCTTCTTCGGATAATTATTTATAATATGCACCGTAATCTGCACCCAAGTCTGTATTATTTCAGCAAGCGCACAAGGACGAAATGTCTGTTCGGTGAACGTTTTTCTAAAATTTATTTTCGCCTTCCACTTTCAGGCGAGCCATTCGGGATACCAAGCGAACCAAATACAATTGGGGAACAAAGAAAAAGCTCAAATTACGCATCTTTTGAAAAGGAACGATCAGTAACGAAAGGACTTGAATTTTCGCGGTCATCTTAATCGGACTTATCAGTTTACATATCTTTGTACATATACTATGTATATATTGCTCCCACTAAATTTGAGTTGTTCTACTGAGTTCACCTTGTGGACCCTGTCTTTAACCACATAATATTTTTTCATAGCTCAAACAGATACAGCTAGGAGAAACAAATGAACGTGCCTCCATTGATTGGTCAGGATTAGAAGGTCACAATAACCAGAGTGGACTGAGAGGTAGATCTCAGAACTGTTGCACCATATGTAGATAGTAATAGTTCACAGAAAGATTGCCCTAATCTACTTTCCTATTTCTACAGCTCACTGAATTTCATTATCCACTGAAGCAATCACACTCCTGGCGGAAAAATTCTGGTGGAATACTTTTCCAGCATCGTTGAGACCCCCTGGATGCCTAGATGAGGCTCAAAAGTTTGGCCTCATACTCTGAACTCAACTACCTGTGTCGTTTGGTCCATCAGAGACACGTTGCGTCTTTCGAATACTGAGCGCCACATCCAGCGAAACAGCCGATGAGTACAGCTTGAAGCAACTGTGTCGTTGGTCCATCAGAGACACGTTGCGTCTTTCGAATACTGAGCGCCACATCCAGCGAAACAGCCGATGAGTACAGCTTGAAGCAATTTAAAGGAGCAGTTGCCAAAACAACTGGGACGTTTTTTCACCATAATTTAGTTTTTTTTGGTCTAGGCCTTTCCGGTAGCTAAAACCGTTTGTTTCTCTTTTCTAAAAAATTGCACAATTGATTTTTTTGATGCCAAAGTTGCCAGTCATAGAGACCAGTTTTTCTGGTGAAGGAGGATCTTGGTTCTTTTGAGTCTGTGCAGTCATCCAGAGTAATGTCATACGTCAGATTGTGCCTCACTAGGTCCGAAGGGTCAGCAGGAGCACTGAACAATGAACTTTACTTTTAATCAACTGAAGAAAGATGTGTCTTTCTTGTTCACTCTGCGTCGAGTTTACACCATTCAAGTTTAGACACAGAAGCAAAGGTGGTTAGCGCAGCCATCCCTGAATCATGCGGTGTACCATAATGATGGTTTTGCGTTGCAGTGGCTCAGCGCTGTTGATAAGCGTGTACCATGCCAAACATGCTAATCGTCAAAACCAGCCACGTGGGAATTCAAACCCAGTACTTTGTCAACGGGTAGGCGGGCCAGTGCCTCACATGTGGATGTGGGATGACTTAGCGATAAGTCAACCACTGAAAACTCGCAGCTTATTCTTTCAAGTCAATTTCTGGCTTGCTTGTTATCAATGTCAGGCACTGCTACGATATGGGAACTCAACATCGACTACCCATGCATCTAGCCTTCTACCGGTATGTCGCGTTTAGGTGTTAAGATAGCTTGAGTTGCGCTTTGCCCGCGGCACATTTGGCTTGAATACATCTTTGGATCCAATAGTTAAACATCCTACTAAATTCTTTTAGAAATACCCATATCAAGGATGGGTTGAATCTCAGAGGCGGAGGTCTTTGGTTGGCAATTCATGTAGTATTTTACGGGGTCAATTGAAGAAACACCAAAACGAGTTCGTTATCCATTCCGATGCCTAGAAAATTGTGCTCACCAAATATACTGGTACCTATAAACCGCGGGATTAAGTGAGGAGGGGCAGTTTTTTGTCGGGGCCGACTGGCAGCTTGAAACCAGAAGAAAACTGGCTGAAGCCTGCTAAATATAGCCACTAACCGAAAAACCGAGTGGATTGTACAGTGAATATAAGGTCAATGTTGAGGTTGCCGATGCGGAACATTGAGCGACGCGTGGGTGTGACAATTCCGGATATCAAATGGAAGAATTAAGTTCGAAACCCTACACTATTATTTACACAACAAACCTCAGGTGTCCATATTCGTGGCGTCATCAAGTGCACAATTCTGTCACTGTTCGGCAGTGTAGTGTCAACGTCCGCAGACCAAACAACGGTAAGCGATGGTTCAGTAATGTGGGTTGCGGTCGTCCCTTCCGACGACAGTCTCGCGATTCTCATTGGTGGTGCGATCACCAGGATCTCATGGAAAGACAAGTCAAGGCATGCTCGGCAAACGGAACAAGACGGCGCATGGGTAAGTAGATTAGCTGCGCACACTCACACATGCTGATACACAAGTGTTGGACTGGATGATGTTTGTGACAAGGTGAATGGCGGGTACAGGTGCAATACAAGTGGAGGTCAAAAGTATATAGGCGGAGTAAGCAAAGGAATGGGTTAATTATCATGAGACCAAGTGAGATTCAATAGCCAGTCGTTTTGCCAGCCAGGCACGTTTACGAATGTATTGCTATGTATTGCTATGTATTGCTTCATAGACGAGAGATTCAGCTGGGTTCAAGATGAGTCTACGGCAAAACCGATCTGGTTTGCAAATGAGTGTTTTTCGATAATTTCAAGTAGAACATGAGGTTGACGAAAACTCGGAGACTGAACCTATTTGATGAGCCCCAAGAAGGACAAAATCGGTCGTTGTCTACCGATGAATTCTCAGCAACCTTATGAGTAGTGTATTACGTCTCTACGTGTAGACATTTTTCGTTATCATTTACGAATTCTGCAGGATGATAACAGGCCTTCATCAGTCTATCCATAATCTCACTCTGCACTCAGTTTCGCTGGCGACGATAAACCACTAACGCGTCGCAGTTCGCAGCTACAACATTATCGAAAGGCTGAATTGATTACTTCGTTGATATAGTCCGAAAAGTTACAAGGACGGACAAATATTTCAAGTGGTGGGAACCTAACAAAATGGTTAACCTGCAGCGGTACTATTAACACAAAAATTTGACAAATCCATAAAATTGGAATATCCTAAGAAATCCTGAAGATAGGCCCCTTGAGTCCAAAACCAAGAATAATGTCGTGTGAAGCCCATTGGTCGCGGAGAATTCTGTCTAAATCCATCCACCCATAGGATTAAAAACCGCTTGCGAAGTTTCTACCGAAAGTCTAACCACTTTCTTAAAACAGGGGTTTGGTACAACATGCTTAACAAAACATTTTTAGTTTCAGAATCTTTCCCGATATGTGATTACCCGTCGTCATCTGTCCTCGCAGGTGTATGCTTGTATCAAACTACGTGGGTATTAAAACTCAGAGTTTGTGAAGCAAGACCCGTGCGTGTGCCTCAGACCACTTGAGAACTGAACTGGCAAAGAACACAACTCGTGCAAATATCTCCCACCTGAGTGATGATCAGCATCGGCGGGATCATTCCCAATGATACGGTCAAAACGTTCGAAGGCGGCGCAGCGTCAAAGATGTCCATCATTCGGTTACGTTACCCAACTCTGTGTTGCCCAGAAAACACTCATGTTCGTTGAGACCGCCTTGGTGATCGGCTACGTTGTTGGTACGATTGTACTGGTGATGCCTACCACATGAAATACTGTTAAAATGGCCTCAATCACGAGGCAACTCCTTTCAAATCTCTTCGTCCTTGTTGAGTATTGATTTGGGTTGCCAGCACCAAGACTGAGGGTATATTTTTTTTACGGCCAGAGAACATAGAAGTACATATCGGACACTTGACATGTATTAAAATCCACATACAATAGTAGGATCAACTCACAATAACTTCCTGGTTTTATTTAAGACTCCACTATGTCAAAGCGTCTCACTGTCTAAGGCGTGTTTTTTTAACCTTTTTGAAAAAACCCGTCAATTTTGCCCCAACCATCTAGCCGATTATAGTTCGTGGAAGGATATCAAGTAGGCCATCCATACTTATCAAATTTAACCACATGGCTAGCCAAAAATGAGTCAAACAGTTTTATATGAAGGCCGATTGCGCGCTATTTTCAGAGGACGCTCTAAAGGATGAATAATATATTTTTGTCTCCCCACCGAATCCAGGCCACGCAACAAGCAAAATGAACGGCAAATGGTAGATCACGAGATGTATTCGATACTCCAACCATATGAAGCTGGATAAAATTTGATGACTTGAGTGAACATCACCGTTTGCAAATAAGAAATCAGCATAAGCATTCAGAGGGTTGGAAGAAGTCATGTTGAATAGTTGATGTCCGACCGCAAACATTCCGCATATCAATGGAAGTGAGTGGATAACAATACCGTCGCACGACTGACACTTTAATGGTCTTCGTGGATTTTTCGTTCAGACCAAAGGGTTAGAAAAGTTGGGAGTTTAAAACTTCCTGTTGGAATCCTGGTTTGTCCATCAGCAGGACAGCAGTTGCTGATGTCGTCGTGCTCTCCGCTTGTCCCTGATCCCGATTAAAGCTGGAGAGCTCAGAAAGAGGTCGTTGAGCAGTCACAGTCGTGCTTGTTGCCCGTGGAATTTCTTCATGATAAACAGTCTTGTTGGATAAAACCTGGCTGCGTGAATTACAGATTTGACACCGGACTATTAAATAGACTATGGTACAACACAGGACCACCCCCAGGACTACCACTCCTGTCAGCAGCCATAGGCCAATTTGGTACCTCAGATGACTGACAGAATATTGGGCTATCTGTTCAGGATTCACTGTTTCTCTCCACTGGGAACTGTGCGGTCCTGAAAGCCGCGCGGTAAGATATGGCTCACTCACATTCATTCTTGGGATCATGTGGTGATAAGACCAGGAACTGTTGAAAATGCTGGCTGCTGCCGGGAATTTTGGAAATGTTTTTGATAACTGCGGTTTCTTGTCACTGAATACAGAGCAGAAAAAAGAGCGATCGTTTCAAAATGATGTCAAACAATATAGGGCTGATATTTGGTTTTGAAAACAGAATAAATCAATTTCTCGTGGTCCGCAAAACACGGTCTGCTGAGAATTTCGAGTCGATCAGTAGCCAGAATCAAGATGCTTTCTCCCTTGACACGCTAAGGAGCTAGCCAGCGGCCGTCTCCTTATTTTGTGTTAAATGGACCATGTGGCTATCCACCAAAGCCCGTTACAACATTCCATAAACTTGAAAATAAAACCTTGAGGTCAAGGATGACTATTGTTTAACCATTTTTCGATAACGTGTGGACTCATTTTCGATGTTAAAATTTGGGGTTATCTTGATTAAAACGGAGCACTTGCAGTTATTAAATAAGGCAACTAATCATCACAGGAAAACACTCTCTCCGCGGCGAATTTCACTTGACTGAATTACTTTTCACTTACGTTCTAGGTTGCCATCTCTATTCTCATACACATACTATTAATACTCAGTGCACTACACAGTAATTCTCGCGCAACATCCCAGAAGCTTGAAGGTTTACAAAATTGTCACGTGATTATTTGAAAAATACATTTCTAGGTTATAATTCCGTCTGATTTATCTGCTTCAAAGTTAGTCTGCGCCACCTACTGTGCATACAGGAAACGGAAGAGTTTTGTTGTCGACAATCTAATCGGTTCACAAATACACTCTCCCATGGTGCATTCCTCTGTCCGTACTTTGATTGCAATGTAGATTACATCTATACTGAAAGGCCAAGAATCTCTAAATATAGCCGCAGCAATTTAGGTATTGAATTTTGTCAATCTGAGGCGGCTCCAAGCTGAAACTAATTGAGGAACACGTAGTAATGTGACTGACGGATTCACCTCAACTCAAAGTTGGGAGCGTCGGGTTCTGCGACCTGAATATGAGATGAACAATTATTGGAAAGCCGTGCTCACGAATATTCAAAATGTACACTTAAGGGTCTCAATGTACTAGTGTTGATTTCTCTGTGATCATGGGTACAATAAACTTGGACAGGACAAACGTTTGGCTAATGATTCCAAAACCCCTGTGAGAACAGCTCAGCGGGGACAGGTGATGCTGCAATTGTGGTGATTTCGAAATCACACACTGGCAACATAAGGTTGCTGTTATTCGCTGCAAAACATTCTTCGTTATCACAAACACACACCATCTATGAAAATTTTCAAGAGTTGATAATGCAACGTATGTCTTCACAGTGTACGACCATTGATAATACCGAATGACAGAATTGACGGACTGGACTTTATGAAATCAACTGGAAGACATCATTTTCCGTATACAGTCAGCGATCAACTTGTGATTATACGAAAAATCCAGCATTCTTTGGATCATTAGAAACAAAACCAAACGATTCAACATTGCATTGTTGGTGTGAAACACTGACCATATCTCGATACATTGTTGACATGAAGAACCTATGCGTGATACGCCAAAACACAGCAGTTTTCACCACACTCCCGAGTGAACTCACTTATAAATATGCCAATCTGTGTTAAGTGACACGATCTAAAAGATGAAAGTGTGCAGCAAGCAGTAGTGGTAGTGCACTTTAAAGACTGTCAAAAAGGGAATTTTCATTGTCACTTTGGAGACGAAACTGTGCACTTTGAGGCTACGTGATAGTTTTAACTCTGGTGTCTGAGAAAAAACTACGCATCTCACTTTCGAGTGATATGGTTCAACAAGTGACCGAGGTTCCCAAATTTCCTGGAGGCTGAAAGTTCGTATGTCGTTGGCACAAGGCAATTCTTCCCCAAGCTAACATTCCTTCCTTTAAAGAAACCCCATGGATGCCTGCAATCAAAGGTTAATCCCATTTGGAAAGCGATGAGTAGCCTCATGTAAAAAAAAACGTCCGTTGATTCAAAAGTCTATATTAAACCGCTTTTCGTTCCATCTCTAGCAGTAGTCCGGAACTAAGGCATCCACTCCAATGGTGACGTCACCTTTTTCTAGGGCATGATGCTAATGAAAGAATACGGTTGGCTCGGTGATGCATATATATATTTCCGTTGATTAAAAGTCTATATTAAACCGCTTTTCGTTCCATCTCTAGCAGTAGTCCGGAACTAAGGCATCCACTCCAATGGTGACGTCACCTTTTTCTAGGGCATGATGCTAATGAAAGAATACGGTTGGCTCGGTGATGCATATATATATTTTAAGGCTGACGTGCTGAAGGCGGAAATGGGATGGAAAAGTAGTATGTAAAGAACTCGGTTGATGGCAGCGGGATTCGGGATAGCTTGTCGCAATAAAATTCGGCAAAAAGCTGGTATTATATCTGCCTTCGAAATGGCATTATCCACAATACATAATTAAAGGCAGGAAGGAGGGAAAAGAACAGATCACTAGTTGAATTTTGCCGTTGTTGAATTTAATGGCCATGTTCGTGAATTTTTCCTGGTGTGTTCGGTTTTGAGACGAGTACAGTACTGGAATCAATTCTGTTATCCTCTCATATGAGACACTAGTTATTTGAAGGACAACTTACTTGAAAAACGGACTGTGTGGTGCAACATTCGGTTGAAAATTAGGCACCAGATCGGTTCGTCCGTAACGAATCACACGAATATCTGGTCTGTAGCCAGCATCGAATGCAACATCCAGAAGCTTCAAGCCATTATAGGTTATGCCTGAAAGAGTGGAAAGAGCAATGCTGTCGGGAAAACACTAGGGGAGAGTTTTGGTTTGTACATTTTGCTGGAGCTTTTCAACGGGGTCCCCTGATAAAATTGCCGAGTAAGTTATTCCGGCGATCACCGGTCATTGCTAACGGATGACGAATGAGAACGCTTTTTTCTAGTTCTTCCAGGTTTCTTTTTGGTGGCATTCGAAATTTAGTCGGATTTGCTTTTGAGTGAAACTGTTCCAGTGATGAAGAACACTAAGGTAGGACAGAAGTGAGTTAGATACCTATGCACCCAATGCGATATGACGATTTACAGTGAATCTGTGCCTACATTTGCCAATTGCAGCTCATGTTTGCAAGCTTTCTGTTTCACGGTAGTTTATTCGTTTTTGGTGGGGAAATTCTGGTTGAATTATCACGCAGAACTCGGTGAGATCCTACAATGATGTACCTCACAAAATACTCATTTTTTTACTAGACGGTGGTGTGGCCATCTTATAAAGGTCGCTGTTTTCACATATGCACCAACATGTCTGTCCAATAGAATCTCCGGATTGGACGATTAGTGTGAGCTGAAAGATCACTCTTTGTTCCCGATCGCCTGACGAAGTCGGCTTTCCGCTAACATATTAGGGACCAAAGTTTTCACCTTATCTTCTACAGTGCGACTGCTGAAGATTCTTCAGAATCAATGGAAATGTCTCACTTTTGAAAGGCATTAAAATCTATGGAAGGTTTGATATTAACTACGTACTTTACCTTACCCTGCAGAATCCCTACAGGTGTATTTTCTGTTCCAGTTTCTCAACGACGCTCGATAGGATGAGCAAAATGGTTTTCGAACAAATCTGACAGGTGATGTTTGCATCCTGTCCTCACATGCTTCAAACTGCAGCCTTAAACTATGCTTTCGTCTCCTCTTTATGTAAAATGATAAAAGGCTTCGCAAAGTGTATTCCAGAGGGAGCGTAACAGCATGTCTGGAAATCGAGCTCATTTGTCGGAAAGCAGACTACAGTGCTTTATTGATAGTTCGAAAACTGGTGGCTATGGCTCTGTTCGGTGAGCCTGGCAACTGACTTGCAGCACTCGAGTTACCAACGAAAGGAAGAAGGCTTTCGCTGCGGATTTATTCATTAGGAAACGCCAACTGGACAGTAACAGACCATTGGACAGGGTTACAAAACCCTCATATGCATCTTATTTACAAAAACTTAATATCCATCTCCTCCTCAAACGCGTCTTCCTGAATTTTCCTGGATATTCATTGACTATTGCTCAAATGCAAGCAAATGCGACTCCACAAATTCCGCAAACGTTCTCACTTTCCAAGAGACACGAAGCAGATTTACGAGAAAACACTACTCGCATGCCTTATCAGTAGTATCCAACGTTACACCAGTATTCCACCGCAAACATGTTGGTGACAAGTTCTACGATAGTGTAGTGTGGGTGAACAAAAAATGTCCCCTTTGCCTGTGGGAAATAGAAAGCACTAAATATTGTAACAAACAAAAAATATAACAAACATGTGGGCTGGGCAAATTTCGCGGATATATTAGCAAAGTCCATTTTGTGTCATCCCCAAAGAAAATACCAGATTAATGTGTGCCTTTTCACAATCAATTCTTACAATGGATGACTCTGTAGCGATCAGCCACTAGATCACGCGTCACAAACGTTCAAACCACGTGACAATTCCTGTCCCACTTGCAACAGCTGATAACATGTAGACTACAGCTTTCCATCCAGTTTTGTTTACAAGGCTACCACCTGCGTCACGCGCCAGACTTACGAAGTTCAACCACATCAGATCAAGCTGTATTCATGTTCGTGCAAGCATCAAACACGAAAGAACACCCCTCTCTTCACACTGCACACAATAAATAGCCATACAACTGGGGCCGAACACACACTTGCGTGTACAGGACAGGAAGTCAACCCAGCTCCACGGTTAACTCCGAAAGGCGTGTAGCAGCTATACTGCTGAGGAGACACGTCCCGCGTCCGGACCTTTATTCAAGAACTCTCAACAGTTGTCCTCAAACGACAGGTCACTTTTTGGCCAATTCCGTTCTTGTACTGTATTGCATTGTAGTCCACATAACTTCTGTAATCATTATCATTCTGGAAAAACAGACATTTATCAGTGCTTGTCAGAGGAGGAATTCACCCACTCAACCCTGCACTGACGATGTCACCTCGACCGGTGATGAAACGTTTGCAATCCAACTGCCAAGTGCTTGTCACCTTCTGATGATGATCCTAGTTACGGTAATCCGATCAATAAAAATTCCTTAGTTCTCTTTGGTTCGAGTAATCACAATATATCTCGACAGGGTAAGCTCCTTGTTGAAAAAAACTTGTACTTACCGCTTAAATATCCCTTGAAGTTGTCATTGAAGTGAGGAATTCCGGAGTGGCCTATAAACACATTCAGTGTTCCAGAGGTGAAAGTTTGCCGACTCCCTAAAATAGACGGAGTAAACAAAACGGAAAATATTTTAATCCCGAAGTAAACTATTTGTGCTTCCGTTGCTTACGTCAGCGTGACGCAACTATACGTGGAGGTGTGATTACGAAGGGGTTCTGGGGCCAGTTCTAGAGTTCCCGAAGGACTTGGACCTCAAACAAAAGTTTTATGTGTGAAAGCCACTCATCGTCGAACGCGTAGCGTACGTAAATACACCTTAAAAGCTGACAGATGTCTGGTCGGCTGTAACCCATACAGAACATTCGACCTGTTCGAACCAGATATCTGTAGTTTCATATACCGTACAAACATTTAAAGCATATTAACCTGATCCCCCCACCAGTGAAACGGCACCGAGGTCGGTCAAGCTGACACGAATCAGTTGAACTTAATTGCATGAAACCAGACCAAGAGAAATTGAGTCATCCCCGGTGCCTTTGATCTTTATCCCTATCAAAGATTACTGAAAGCTTGCGAGGCAATTCCCCAAACTCAGCTTCACATCGAATACATGTTTCCAATGAACAAGGAAATTAAGTTGATGTTAGAGGAAGACTCTAACGGAATCTCTCGTTCATGATATTCAACTTAATGTGCTGCACAAAGTCAGCCTTATTTTTCATTTAGCACGATATTCAAAATGTCTCAGTGAATTTTCACGACGAAACACTACTCATAAGGTCGCTGAGAACTCTTTGGCAGCCGACTAACGGCTTTATCCTTCTTGTGGCTGATCAGGTAATCGAAGCCACGAGATTCCGTCACCTTAGTGAAGAGCTCCAACAGAGCGGCACCAAACATGTGCTGTTGAAGAGTCCCCAGCAAACGTTTGAGTAGTATCTTGCATCGGAACGATATTATCCGACTAAATCACGAAGTGGCTCTCGCCCGACATATTTTGGTGGACGTATTGTGATCTGTAGACTGTGTTTGTACTCAGTTAAGTCTCTCTTTGACTTTTCTGGGAGTAGTTTGCTAAATATAGCATCTGTCGTTAAATCCTCGGATTAACTGCGAAAAAACTAGTCGTCTCATTAGAGCAGATAATGTGCAAACCACTGCATTTTCGGCATTTCTTCAATCGGTTCCGACTTATACATAAGACAAGAAATAAGCGAGATCTGTAAGCTGGACTCAATCAAGCTAAAATTTGTAGTTGAGAGCCAAAGTTTTCATAAGCTTTGACACGATATTTGAGAGACATTTGGGATTACGATGAGGATTTCTGGATACATGAAGTTAAATTTCTTCACGAGGAGCTTTTCGGGCCTGTAAACTTTGTCCCTCAGGTTTTGTATGTTGAGAGCGTGATCAGTGAAGCCAGTCCTCAACTAGACTACCTTGAGTGCTCTTTCAATGTTTTGTTAAGTTAGTTGACCGGAATTTCACCAATTCGGTCAAATTTGGATGGCAAACAAGGGTCCAAAGATACGTATCAGGTCTGAGAGTTACAGATCAAAAGAATTCGACCATGAATTGTCTGAACAGCCACAAGAGTTTTGGTTTCCATCTTTCTAGTCGATTTTCCCGTTTGTGTCGCACAGGTAATGTACCAAGTTTCATTTGCTTCTTAATAGGACAAAGCTGTGCGGTAAGTAGGCCACGTTGAGCACACCCATCATTGAGCATGCTCGTGGGTGAGTCCGGGACAACAACGCACCAATAGAGTAGGGTTGGTTTCTCCGTTCCATCTCACAAGTGAATTAGGGGTTCGTATATCCCTTAGCTAAAGGCGTCAAATGAAGTGGTGGGCCACTGGGTCCTGGGCCACAACATATCTGATAGGCGGGGGAAACATGTCTAAAGGGATAGCTTCAAGTCGAAAACTTGACGAGGCATTTCTAAGCACCATAGAAACAAGCAAGTCTTTCAGGGAAGCACTTGATGAAACCAACAGCCAGGAGTTTGTTGAGCGAATGTTTTACTATGCCAGGCAAATTTACGTATATTTTCTAAATCAGGGTATCGGAAGAACATCACTCTGATCATGCTGCTCAAACGGACTGTTCAAGGGACAGTGTTCGAACCACTTCAATATGCTTTCCCGGATAAGACGAACTGACAAAGAAACGCGGTACGCCCAGTTCATTGCTGAGGTAAAACTGGTTCAGAATCGTAAATTTTATTTGCTTGATGAGCTTCAAAGGTACCAGACTAGTATAACTCTAACATAAGCCCACTGATACAGTAAGTGCCAAAATATAACAAGTAACCTAATTTAATGTTGATTGATAGGCCCACAACCAGTTTCGACATTCTTGGGACTCATCCGTCAACCTTATGTTCTACTTGAAACCGAATTGGAAAGAATTACCGAAAAACGCTCCCTGGCAAACACATTCGGTTTTTCAAAAGACTTGTCTAGGACTCGGTTGTTTGAAAATGAGTGTATTTCGTTAATTTCGTTCAATTTGGTCTCAAGCAGAACCTAAGGTTGACGGAATTTCGGGAACTGTGCCTACCTGATGAGCCCCAAGAAGGGTGAAACGGGTCGTGCGCTGTGAAAGAATTTTCATCAACATAATCTCGAATATCGTAACAACTGAAGCATGAGGCAGCCTGATACAGCACATTCAGAACCCAGACCCAACTGGGTTCCGGATACTTCTCTCGAAAAAAACAAAATTTGTTTACAAATGAGTGTAGTTTGCTAAATTTAATGAGCTTATCAATGAAAGACACCCTAATTCCGATAAACTGTAGCCAGGACAGACGTACTTTCATTTACTGCTTCCCCAAACTACAGACTGAATCCCATGTGGAGCATAGCGATGGTCGTTAGGATTCACTAAACTTCTCCGTAACACATCGAGCTGTGCGATGGGACGATAGCATACCACTTTTGCAAAACAGAGAACCAAATATGCTCATACGGATGTTCTGACCTCCTACACTGCTGACGGAGGAACGTATCCCTCAAGAGAAATGTCCATCTTACTTTGAACCGTGTAGTTAACCAGCTGTCCATCCACTTCTATCCAGAACTGAGTATCCGCTCGGAAACCACGTATTCGATGAAAGCGACCATCATCCAAGTTTGATACAGGTCTCAGAACTGACAATGGCGAGCCAGTGGATACATAAAGACGACCTCTATGCTAAAACAAACGACAGCAATCACTGGTTTTGAAAGCGGTTTGAAACAAGAAACAATCAACTACACTATGAATAATTTCCGGACAACAGTTAGCCGAGTCAAGGTACGACTGGTTATGATTTTAAGAGCCTCGAGGGAAGAAATGGAATGTCTAAGAATTAAAACCCAACTATAAATTATTGCATACCAGGTTCATTCAAAATACTTTGCTTTCTAAATTTTGAAAATGCTAAACAAATTAAATTTTAAATTGAGAAAATTAGCATCAATTTAAAAATCAGGTGTGTGTACTACTCAAACAACTGTCAGAAAAAAAACAAATAATTCAGCTGGATTCCTGGTGAGTCTCTCGAAAAACCAAACCTGTTTCTAAACGAGTATTTTTTTGCTAATGCCGTGCAATTTGACTTCAAGTAGAACGTGCAGCTGACGGAAACTTGGGGACTGCACCTACCTGATGAGCCCCAAAAAGGGCAAAACCGGTCGTGGGTTGTCGAAGAATTTTGAGCAACCCCATGAGTAGTGCATCACGCATATACACGAATTGCGATATCTCGAGTATCGTAGCAATGGGAACATGATGCGGCCTGACTCAGCACATTCAGTTGTCCGGAGACACCAAAAACGTTAGATTTAGCTGGGTGAAAAATGAGTCTCTCGGAAACCAATTTTATTTGCAAATGAGTCTATTTCGATAAAAACCTTCTACACCATTGCGGATACCGAGGCAGTTATCGCTGAGTGAACCGTTGTAAACGGCGATATGTGCATCCAACTAAAAATCATATCCATTACAAGGACGACGCTTTCTCAAACACTTAGCTGACAAAAAAGCAACTCATAAACTAAACGACTGCAGCACCAGGTGCAAAGTACCAGTTTTCACAAAATCCGTTACATCTGACGTCTATTCAGCCATTAGATATCCTGTGTGGCCCTTTGCCGACAGAGGAGCAGTGCACCAAGAATCTACCGCGCTTTTCACATTCAGTGCTACATAGTCCGTCGTAACTAAAACGGTTGACCCTGAAAGTGCAAGGCTTCCAAGGCTTCTGATAGATATTTTAACAAATGAATTTCGGGAAACAATCTGTGCATAAGGAAAGGATCATGACCTTCTATAGTAATCCCTTTGCAACAAATTTCTGGCGTTAACTGCTTGATATGGGTTGTACTGAAATCCAACTTTGGGGTGTAAATATTACTTAGAAAAAATTAACATGAGAAAACTTCAGTAACCACAGTCAACTGCAGAAGGGAGTAGACAAAGCTTATATGAATCGGCGATTCCGTAGGATAGAGCATCGCGTTTCGTTTTTGTCCAGTGATTTCGTTTTGCAAGAGCGCCACAGGAAAAATGAACGCAGTCGAACCTTCATGTTTGCTTAATCTTAGTTATTAAACATTCTGAAGGCTTCCACATGATTCTTCAACTGAGCTGCCGTGCAATTTCTCAAGAGGGTGAAAAACTTACCAAGTACAGGTGCAGAGCATTTCCAATCTGATCTTCCTCAAGCACACGCAGAATTGTCATACGTGACCCGTCCGGTTTACCTTGCGGACTTTCGTTTCGCACATCTGTCTGCATGCCGACAACCCATTGGTCCCATCTAACCGTATGCACCCAGGGAAAAAATTGTAGCTGAATGTATCCCGGAATCTCCGGTATGAATTTACTGGAGGCAGTTGTCACATTCGTTTGTTTGTGACCAAAGTATACCGTTGTCCCAACTTAAACATCGAAAAATAGAGAAAACGTCGACTGAACAATGCAGCTATTATTGACCGGTAATAGGAAAGTCACGTGAACTGAATGGTGTTCACCTCATCTTCAGTAAACATGAAATCCATCTTTAGTTGCAGTGTGCTATGCCTAGCCACAAGCAAGTGTGGAGAGATATTAGGAAATCAGAAGATCAAATCCTGAGGAATTCACCGGCGTAAATTTGTTATGTTGACACATAAAAGCGAACGTGTTTTTGAAAATTGTTTAAACGGACCACCACAAGTTGATTATTACTCGTGCACGATGGACGTCACAATAATGGGGTTCTCAAACTCAAGTGTTGCTGTGTGAGTCTAACCGTCAGAAAACTCTCAAATAGTAAAGGAACGAGAGGGAAAAATATTCACGAAACCCCTCCTTTGTGCTTTGAATTCAAAGGTTTACGTCGATGTTTTCCGAGGACTTGTTTTTGCGAAGGTATATTCGAAAGCGAATACACAGCTCATCATTCCTTATTTGTCTGTGTCATTTTGATGACGATATAACTTGAACGTGGGTATGATGGAACACAATTAATTGATTGATGGCATCGTGATGACTAGATGGAACACTACAGTCAGATGGGTGTGGAGGCCTTACTATCCAGGCTGCTGAAAGGTTTTGTTTTGCGAGGTATATTCGAAAGCGAATACACAGCTCATCATTCCTTATTTGTCTGTGTCATTTTGATGACGATATAACTTGAACGTGGGTATGATGGAACACAATTAATTGATTGATGGCATCGTGATGACTAGATGGAACACTACAGTCAGATGGGTGTGGAGGCCTTACTATCCAGGCTGCTGAAAGGTTCTGCTGGGACAGCGAATCTGTTGGAAGAGTTGACTAGCACATAATCGCTACGAAAGAAGATATTTCACGGAAACTCATAAGTTTGAATAAATTCAAGCATGAAAATGTCGATGTGTGTACACTTCTAATCACAAAATGTGCAACAAAAATGGCATTTTTCAACTCCAAGAATAAATTTTTGGAACTTAAATTTTGGCTACAAAAACGTCTGCGACCGGCCACAATACTTCAGTGTTTATACAATGAGGAGATGCATGAACCAAGCGCTTGTATTGTTTTTTCTGTAACTTTTTGGTGTAACTTTAGTACTTGACTATCCAGCATCGCTAGTACAGGAAGCTATGACGAGCAAATTTATACCAACTGATTTTCCAGATCATCGTGCCAGGCCATATTGATTAAAATATTCATGGGGAGCGCATAAGACTGTGTGTGTCACTTTCCCGATAAGCCTCTCTCAGAAGAAGCCAGTTGACCAGATACATCATTACCAGGTAAGCTATCAAAGGTTGATCACACAAATGGACGGGACAACGTGTTCTGAGTTAATTTGCGTGACGATGTAGATTGGAGTGAATGCTTTGTAAAACACCTTGCCAGGTATTGTTACCATCAATGTTACCGAGGAAATGAAGCCACCTCCGTTCGTACGGGGATATATTGATGAATATTCATCGCATTTATTAATGAAATAGGGAACTAAGTTTCAAACATGGGGGGAATATATAAGGAAATCCACAGTCAGACGTTCACTCGAAAGTGTGCTGCTTACAACGCCGCTTGACCTACATCACGCTCTGCCTCCTGGTCAACCAGATATCCGAATTCGCACGGTTTAAAGACTGTGGTAGAATGTTCGTAAAACATTCCACTTGTGGTAAGAAATCTCACTGCAGGCGATTGCTATTTGGGACAAACTCTATTCTCCCAACGATGAATAGAAATGCCGTAGCCATGTACTTATTGCTCCTAGAAGTTCTAAACGCTTCGAAAAATGTTGACCTGTGTATATTTTTATGCGTTCCCATATGGCTAGGAAATTGAGTAAATTGGTAAGACTTAATGGGGGCGGCGCATCGTTTATCATTAGTACGTGGATAAATACAATGTTTCAACATTACTCTTCATTCTATTTATCCTGAACCTTTTGCACTTTGGACGCCTTCAGCCGACAAACTGAAATCCTTGTTAATGAGAGAGTACTGGCGTTCTTCACTGCCTTCCTTTGTGTAAACCTCTGAATTCGAGCAACTCCACAGTTGAATCTAGCACACCTTGATCCATTACCGTTTCTTTTATGACGCAATCATAAAAGGAAGTATCTTTACCTATTTCTGAGAAAGCAAAGTACTCACTTGCTTCACAGTTTGGTCCTTGGAATGCTGTTCCTTTGCAGTCACAAGCGTTTTGCCTCCATTTCTGCACACATCGACCGTCGTTCCAACATCGTCTCGCTGCTGAGCTTTCTCCATACAATTTTTTCGTTTCGGTATCCAAGCACGTAATCTTCGAGTTGATTGAGCACCCTGGTCGTACACGGGTACGGCAGTACCCAGACCCATACTTGTTTGCAGCATGTTTGATTTCGTATTGCAAGATGTCCACAGGTTGATTCTTCCAAACTTTGATATCTCCAATACAACCCTAAACATTAATGGCAGTTTTAACATGACAGATCAGAAAACTTCCAGAAGTCCATGAAAGTGCAAAAACGAAGAAGTTCAACAAACATAACTGCATCCAGATTATGCTGTCCTCCCTCAAAACGAATCACCCTTCGAACTCCACCGAACTGTAGGGTGATGAGAGTAGACTCCGTACGATTTTGTCCGATGTCCATCCTAGCACCAGGGAACTTATGAGCTATCTTTATAGTTCTCCTTCCTTGATGTTGAGAGGAGACGTTGGTAACTCAGATAGCATGGATGGCCGCTGGTATCCGTAACCTTATGGCATCTATGCACGATATTCTTATATAAAGACCAAGAACGTCACACTTTCAACCTGGATAACGAAAACATCTTTGATATGCTGAGACAAGAAACACGGAAGGAGATTCTTGGAAGCTTGGTACACTACGACAGACTCATTTGGTCGATACGACGAACTAGATCCAATTCAACTATTCAACGCACAACCGCCAACCCATCGCTACGCACCACTAAACCGCACTGATTTCACCTCGACCAATAATGAAACGTTTGCAATCAAAGTGCCTAGCTCATCGAACAGGTTGACTACCTGAGCCACCAACACTTTCTTCCTTATGAGATCCAACTCATGCAGCGCTAGGTGTAAAGGGCCAACATCTCAACTAGAAGAGCGCCGAAAGTCCCGTTAATAAACCAAGAAACAAAAAACTTCTTGGAGTCAGGTCAAGACTGAGACCCAGAGAGATTAATTACACAGGTCACCTGGCACCACCCAGAGTAAGAGAGCGGTGGAGGCAAGCTCAAAGACCACATGCTTGTCGACAAATCAGGTCACAGGATGTCATGCCAACCAATAGGGACGCACGACCGAACAACCAACCGTGATCGCACCTATATTGACACACTCGCAACGCAAGTCATCGCACAGCCATCGACCCATCACTACTCCCTATCACACACCAAAACAACACATTGATTGATTGATTCATTGGCTGATTGATTGTTGATAATCGGTGATGGGTATTGGTGAAACGTTCGCAATCAAATTACCCAGCTCAGAAAACAAACCAGTTCTCGTTATGTTCAATTAAACAAGACGAACTTGGCAACTGCTGGGGACTGATAATCTGCGCACAAGAAATTACACTAGAGAGAATTACGGCAACCACAGTGGAAACATTGAGAACCCCAAGTTGTTCCGAAACGATGACTTTGGAGATACCGAAGTGGTACCAGTTACTGCATCTGACTCGTCTTCAGTTACCGAAGTGACCTGGAGAGAATGTCAGGTTTCAAATACCAGAAATGAATGAAACGCAGATTCTTGAGCTATGCGGCATGCTGAGTGAAAAATATCGTAGTCTTTGGGTGTGTTACGAAAAATCACCTCAAGAGATGGAAACAAGGAGAAGACCTACTGGATGACAACAGCATAACACAAAGGACGCAATAACGAGTACTAAGTCAATGAGAGTTATCCACCTTTGTGGACCAGTTTGAGTACCACTCGTTTGACCATGTACGGGGAACATTGTTTTGATCAGCCGGTCCTCTTGGTGTCAGTTTGTTTTAATAAAATGAAAAACAAGACGGACTTATATAATTAAAGAATTAGCACCGCTGTAGGTGAGAAGACTACATCAGTGTCCAACACTACTGTTGAACAATCGCGGTTTAATTGTAAGCCTCACTTTTGAAGGAAATAATGAAAACGGATGACTAAGGAACTTCTTGCTAGCCTATCACAATTACGTCGAGGCCTACACCTCCGAAAGAAGCAAGTGTTGGACCCTCGTAAGAAAGAACCGCAAAGCCTGCTCTTCGTGGGCACGATATGAGGTCGCAAAGTTGTCACTCTACGTGAAAAGCTTGTCGTTCTTAGTGCTTGTTTGAGACTGTTATCTGCGGATGCAAAGTTAAAACTGAAAACAGCAAGAAATACAATATGTCAGAAAGTCCACAAGCTGTTGGGGAAGATTTTTTCGCGCGGCATGAACATTTTTTCATATGGTCGTTGGCTTGATCACTGAGTTGGGTATTCTGACTGCAAGCCTTTCATCACCAATCGACGGGACATCATCAATGCGTTATTAGGGAGCGTAGTGGTACTTAGCGTCGGGTTGGTGAAGAACCTTACGAGAACCTTACGATCACAGTTGACAGTCATCCATGCAAGGCACTATCGGACTAGAAGACTGGACTTTGGTTTCAGCTGGTATGATATTCGAGATATCGTGGTACATTTATGGGCAAAATACATCACTCAGAAGGTTGTTAAAGTCTCTTCGACAGACGATTTCGCACTTCTTGAGTTAGCCTGGTGTACCACATTCAGATGTACAAAAGACATTATAAACAAGAGATTCAACTAGGTTCTAGTGTGTCTCCCGCCAAAATCAAACTGACATGCAATTGAGTGTATTTTTCCCTCGGTAAGAAGTTCACTCGAATCATCTCCAGAATTGTCCAATATTCCAAACTAAGATGCAGTCATACGAAGATCCCAAGATTCGGTTTACATCTCATTCGATAGTGTAGAAGATCACTACCTCAAATCTGATAAGTATTGCCAGAAATTTACAATTGTACATTGACCTAAATTTGACGCATGGCAGTCTGAAACATTTGTTCTTCAGAAAGAATTCGATCGTACGCGGGTAAAACAAAAAAAAACAAATACTGTGGACGCGACTCGAACCCGTGAACTTCACCCAGTTAACCAGCTGAGGGTAACTCTTATTGATGGTCTACAAATTTCTGTTTGCCTACTTACGTTCAAGCCAATGGATTTTTGTGACATCAATGTCTGAATTACTGTGGACGTCATACGAAACGCTCTCAAGCACTACCAACCCACATAGGCTACTCAGATGCTTAGACAACAGTATGGAATCTGAGTGCGCAACGTTGAGTAGTATCTGCGGTAAATCAGCCTGTACGCCAGAGCTAGAGGTCACCGGTTGAACTCCTGTGCAGAGATGCTTACAGACGCTATACAGAATTGTTCACACGGAAAAGGTGTTGAGCTTCTGCACATGTATCCTTGGAATACCGTGAGTACATGTCATAGTTAACTAGGAAGAACAGTTGGACAACTTAGAGTGTCATATATCGTGGATTTCATAATGATGCCGTCCATATGAAACTTGGAGTAAGGTAAGCAATATTAGTTTCCTTAATGGCACTAAGAAAAACTCAACCAGCTTTAACCAGTTTATCATGATAACGCTGAAAAAAGACTGATTTCCGAAAATAGACCAGCGGTCGATAACTCTAAGCGTTGAACGTATTATGGAAAGCAACCCACCTTTCTGTTGTGAACTTCCAATGCCACAAATCTCAAATTCAGACGTTTAAAACCTGCGTGAGGCGCTTCCTAGTTTTTCGGTATGGAATGATTTCTTTTGCAGGAAGGAATCCCAATTGAATAAAAAAGTTACGATTATTTCGAGTGTCTCAATTATTCAGCTATCACATATCAGAAAATCGTATTTCCGTCGCCAGTGATACAATTGCAAGTTGCTCTAATAACCTTGCTCCACACGTTTTCAGGCCTAATTGGTTAATCGGGTAAAATCTAGTTAAGAATAGCCTTTTACATTGTGCATAGGTATGACTGAAGACATCAACACAGATGCAAGAGCAGGTTGACCAGTCTGTGTAAATGGTTTGCGGTACTCTTGGTTGGATTCACAAAATATCTAAACCTTTGTCTAGGAGGCCTTTTTCTCATTGAGAACAAGCCAACACAAAAGCTCTTTTTTGCGTAAAATGCGTTACTTGAAAAAATTGTCCAGTTTCAGGATTTTACTCGCAAGGGTTTGTGTGGCTGGAACAAAAGGTAAAAACGACTTGTCCGTTGTCTGACGTTACATTCACAAGAGTCATCGACATTGTCTAAACATTGCATGCGGTCACATGTGATCTCTACATACCTTAAATCCTTCACCGCTCTCCATATCAGTCTGTCGGACTTCCCTCGGCACGCTTCCAAAAATCAGTTGGGTTGCACGCGTATCCAATCGAAAATTGACTGGCAATTCCAGTTTTTTCCAGCTTGTGACTGACGGGCTCCCATTTGCTGAATGAACAATGCGAACTTCCACAAATTTATCCAGCCTGAAAGGAGACAGTTCCAATGATATGATACGAAACAATGGGGTTGAAGATTCATTTATTTCTATTGATTTCGTAACTTGTTTATGACGAACTCTTTAAAACACACAAAACTATTTGTTGCGCCACACACCACACCACCATGATACGCAAAATCGTCATATGTAGTGATTGGAGCTGGAGTATCATCAGATGTCGAAGCAATGTCTCGGAGTCTCAGGCCACAGAGCTCATTTGGACGTTCTTCGATGTCTAAAATATATCTTCACTGTCATTATTGGAGATCCTTACTTAATGCTGTCAACGAACAAACCCTACTTCTGAACTATAGGTGGTTTAAAAATGTGGAAGATTAATATGGCCTCTGGAACACTTTCGAGACCCCTTGACTAGGTGATTAGTGTGGATTTTATTGCTACCCCTAGTATGTATGAGAGGCCGTGATATTTGCGATAGAATAACAGTACAAAGGAGAAGAGCTTCCAGAAACATTTGGCCTTAGAGTTGGAGTCGATTGGGGTTTCCTCAGCTCGCGATTATGGTTCTGTTCAGAAACGGAATCTTCGTTTCAACTCATACACTGAAGCACCTCCAGTGTGCTTTGTCTGTGTGAAGCCTCATCACCAAGGAACAGTTATAATATAGAGATGCATATAACGGACGATAAGAGCTCTTCCATGGTCAACCAACCGGATGAGTGAAATACACAAGCGACATGAGGCGGAATGATCGAACATCCCCAAATACAAAACTTGATGACAGTATGTGGTAAGATCAGCTAAATCTTCGTCTGAAGACCAACCAGGCAAGCACTAATTACGAACAAATCACCAAGACCAGACATTTTTTATGGCATAAACATCCGTGGTAAAAAATTTGATCTGTTAAGCCCTAGTGAGGAGGCATCTGATTCTTGAGGTTGCAACTGGGTTAAACAGTGGTGGCTGTAATACCAAGCCAGAGCAAAATACATCGCCGCGAGGTGAATGTAGAAAAGGCACTCTATTTAAACCGCCCGTTGGTTATGTGGTAAAACTAGACTGCGGAGCAGGCAACAGTGCTATTCTTCCGTAACCTGCCATTCTAATCTAACAATAAATTTATCGATGTGCAGGAGAGCACTACCATCATCCACAAACAGTCATATAGTAAACCACGATGGTGATGGCTCCACATCCTTAGGCTTATTCGTTCACTTTTGGAGTGATCATCGTGTGCCTCAGAGGAAGAGTAATTTCACAAAGTGAAGGAAACTTCTCAATCTATAGAAAAAAGTTTAGAACCGATTGTTCAACAAGTCCTTCTGAAATGAGTGAAACTTCCTTCTGAGAAGTCGTCACTCGAGGAGCTGTTCAATACGTGACCACGTGATGTGGTTCCCGTGATTGAAGGATGAATGGTGTATAGCCTGTCTAAGTGAGGGCAAATCACACTTGTGCACTTACTCGCAACCGATCGATTGAGTGTTCAACCAGTGACCGGAAAATCACAGCTTAAAAACTTTCCCACCTCCATCGACCACCCTTTATTTGAGAACATTTATTTTGACTCCCATTAACATGGAATATTCTGGTCGCCAGGAGCTTCTAATCCTGGAAGATTAACTCTGAGGGTAACTGGAATGAAGTGACTCTGGTTCATTCAGTGAAGTCAAATATTTTTATTTGATTTAAGCTTACCAGTTGGTATGAGAGTGTTGATTCGGTGCAGTCTGTACTGCACGTCACCATATGTGATCAGCGGTGCACAAAACTGAAGCTAGTATATCACTAATATGCTTGACCCATTCGGAGCACAATCGTCTTACAAGTGTATCGGTCCCGTCCACCATATTCCAATTGTTTCTCTAAGTCTTTCACTCTTATTCGCAGATTGTGAAAGTCAGTATTGGTGTCCTTTTTCCCACATTACTCATTTTAACATTCTTGTTCCAAGAGACACGATACTTGTGTTTTTAAAAACAAACAACCTATTACGCATTTGACAGCCTAAGGTTTGCCTTGAGAAACTTTTCATCCTTGCTTTCACTTTGCAAGAAATCTTGGTCAGATAAATGACGTTGCATTACTGTTTATTGTCATTCTAGATCCACCAACGTTAGGCAAGTCTTCGCCGACGTATCACCCACCGATTTACTGAGACACAAGTCACTTTAATTGTGGAAAGTACACGTTTGAACATTTACACAAGCCAATGGCAGTCTTCTACACATAAGGACATGAGAGTATGAATCGCTGAATATCGTTGTGGTTGATAGCCTTACAGAAATTAGAAAAAGGAAGAAGGCCTTCGCTGCGGAGTTACTTATCAGGAAATGCCAACTGACCGGCTACAGACCATTGGACAGGGAAGCAAAACTCTTCTTTGCATCTTATTTACAAAAACTGGACATCGATCTTCTCCTGAACGCGTCTTCTTGAACTGTCCTGGATATTCATTGACTCCAATCATTCATCGCTCAAATACAAGCAAATGTTACAAAGCAACTCCACAAATTCCGCAACAGGTCTCCCCTTTTCAAAAGACGCAAAAACACATACTACTCGTGTGCTTCCCCATTAGTATTATCATCGTTAGAGTAGTAGCCTCAAGGACGTTTGTTCCAGATGGGCTCGTAATCCAAATTTATATGAGATACTTGTATGAAAGCAAAGGTGCAGGACAAAACTTAATGGAACTGAAATGATTTTGTCGCACGAGATGGTTTGTGGCAGCAAACACGACAAGGGTACAGTCAGTAATATGTTTGGTTCAAGTCCGCACCTAAGCCCGAAGGTCTCGATATTTTTTGACAAATATATACAAACTTGAATGACTAAAAAGAATTAGCGGGGGAGATGATATATCAACAACAATCTCTGAGAATTACTCATACGTTTGAAGTTCTATAAGACTTGGCGAAATTGTCGTTTATGAACTGCAATTTGCACGGTGTTTTCTAGAAATCATCATGTACTTTTGGGTTATTATAGCTTCTCCAGGTGCCTTTGGAACAATCAAATGACAGGACTCAGATTAGCCAATGTCGCATAATTACTCGAATATGTAATGATGTGTTGTATAACTGACGTGATTGGTTACGTTAACAGCCGCTGTGTAAAGCCTCAGTAAGTTATACAAGTTAGTGCATGTCTAAGTGACCCCTCTCCTTACATGGCGGAAGTTGGATATGAGACGAATCTCCCTAAGTAACAGTCTAATATGATCGCAAGTTGTACGACTACATTTATTGATACTTTTAAAGTGTGGGGAGCAAAAGTCAAAGGTTCTCATATAATAAACCCGGTGGGCAATTTTCACTACTTATAATACGATACGAAAACCCGCAGTGCCCACAGTCTCACTGTGGGACCAATGTATCAGAATCTCATACGTCCAGCTCTGCTAAGCAAACGTCCAGACCTGTTAAATAGAAATGGGCTTCAAAGTTTGGCGTCCAGTTTTTTCTGCGGATGTCATTTAGTGGAGTCTCACGTGGATAGTGTCTTCCTCTTGACTAAACCAACTTAACTCGCTCACAACCTCACAAAAACAACAGGCATCGATCATGCGTCACTCACCTGACAAGAGTGAGCTGAATCCAATTGCCGATCAGCCCAATCCCATTCAAAATATTTACTTCATGTCTATATTTTTCCGCGAGCACCACAGCACGTAGACTTCCCCCGGTCATTTCCAGGATGAGGGCCGTGGTGTTCTTGAAATCCGTGTGATAGAGCACAATTCCATCAAACGAATATGGCCGAAATTTAAAGCTGATTGGATATATGACTTCAGAGCTCTGAACAGAAATCTTCGCGAAACATTCAGGATCCAGGAACTGGGTGGCAAATGTCACTCCTTGGACTGGGTCAGTCGAAGGCGTTGATTCATGTTCTTCAATGTCCGAAGTCGCTTCGACAATCCAACGGAACCCGTCAACAGTTGAAGACAGCCCGACTGTTGAAGTTGAAAGTTTTATCCCGTTGAATGTGATGCCATTAAAATGAAAGTGCCGTATTTGTCCCACATAATCAAGTACACTTTCGGTTAATTGATTGACTCCCAGAGGGTGTTTCGACTGATAACATCTACCAATCACGATTCCACCCACCGAAAAGTCCATTCTAGGCAGTAAGATACCTGCATTTGAGAAAATTAAAAAAACACCCAGAAGAAATCCACGACTGATGAATCAGTCCAAACTGAGATACGAGTTGATAACCTATGATACATTTAATAAGGCTATCCAAAGCAGCATTTTGGTGTTTGATTACTCCGTTCATTATTATACCTGTTTGGAGAGTCTACAGTAATATTCTTTAACGTTTTGCGTGATTGCATTAATGTCGATTTGTTTTATGTCTAAAGTAAGCTGAACTGAATCCCAGTCAGATTTATAATTTATGATGTTCCCCAGATGAATATGCTGGTATTTGAAAGTGTTTCCCTTTCATGCTGGCCAGATTCTCAAAAGAGTATTCGGACAACTGTGCGCAGTTTCGTATTCAGGCGGAAGAACAAGAAGGCTGAAAGAAAATCGATAACTACGCCCTCGTCATGAACTGCAAGGAAGATGGAACAGGAATGAAGGGCCAAAGGATATTCTACAGCCATACAACTAGTGTTTTTGGCAAGCAGTTGATCAGTTTCCGTTTAAAATACTTGGACCGGCAGTTACACTACCAACCACAACGACAAATCAAGTAGGGCTTTCGGATCCGAATTCGCAAAGTACAATCACGAGGACTCTGTCAAGACCCTCTCAGCCGCTTTCCAACTGGAGTTTTGGCTTGTCCTTCGAATTCGCCAAGCGTTAAAAAGTGAACTGTTATTGAAGCGGGCTAGTGAAGATAAAAATTTTTAAAAATGTGTTTGCTATCTGTTGTAGGGAAGCTTTTTTTGTTTTAGATTTCAAAGCACTTGTAGAATGGAAATCCCTGGGGAAACACGGTGAGTGTTACTCCATGCCTCGATCTTATTCAGTGATCCACGATCTTGCACAATCACTACACTGAGACTGAACTAGATTTGCAAACCTCCTCAGTTGAGCTCAGTTTAGCACCTTATTTTAAGCTCCATTCCTCTGAGAAGTGTATAAATAATATATAATAAAAGACGAGCATCATTTGACATCCAAATGGCCTGTTTTAAAAGAAGATTAAACCTTCATGTCGCACACCATACACATGTACATTCTGCGAATTTTTAATTCTAGAATAATAAAATAAAATGATACAGAATGCAGTATGGCCCCCTAGACAAGTCTGTACAAGAGGTACAATAAGGCGTATATTCAGTTAATAAAGCATTCATTTTCGTCCGTAAAAAAGATCGGAAAAATACTACCGTAAAGCGATTACCTTACAAGGGCTAGAGAAGGCTCAGTGAACGCGAATTTACTGAAGGTCTCTGGTTCAAAACCAATCTCTGCATCCTGATGTCCCCTGTCCGGCCTTGGGCAACTTGGCAGTATACCCGCCCTCAAGCTTCCTTTGGGTAGCATGGCAGCTGGGCACCGGAAGGGTGCTGTGCTACAGCGACTTTTTATTGCCCCAAAAGATATGTTGAAATAATATAAGCCCTCCAAATGAGAGTAGGTTTTTGGGCACAGCTCCATTGCAAACCTTTGCAGCTTCTGAGATATCATCTTTCACACAGGATTTTCAGAAGGCGTCTCACTCACAACGGAAAAGGGAATCGCTCTGATCCCCTGTTAGCAGAGCAACTCCCGGCTTTGTTGGATAGAAACAGATTGCCAGCTGTGGAAAATCTGCTGCCGAGTACAGCAAATTTCTAATTTTGAAGCACACCACAGGAAATAATGAATTTGGTCTGTCCTTATGTGTTTATTTCAACTCTATTCCAAAAGGAATCCTTCTAAAGAAGAGACCATTTTCGGTGGTTTTCATGAGACTGTTTCACCAGACTAAGTACCCTGAAAAAACTCTTGCATTGGCATTTTAAACGTGCCCTTCCACTCAAGTATGTCTCCTTTTAATCCGGTAAAATCACCTGTATTGACTGATTAAGACTGGTTTTCTCCAAGGGGTTTTAAGTAGTATTAGAGATGCGGTCTCCTCCAGTAAACCAACCCACCAACGTGTGAAGACCAAATCATTTATACGTCTGCCACAAACATTCTCAGGTAAACAGATGTCCAAGCGCTCAGTCAGACAGCATCGAATGACACGAATGCCGCTGACACAAATTAGCCGCCAGACAGACAAGTGCAATCGATGGGATCGCAGAGATTCCATCTTGGAGTCCTGAATCCTCACTGTGAACAAGATCCTCTCCAAGATGCCAGCCATACTTTCTGACGGTGGCTTGGTCAACTGACCAACTAGCTAATCGAAAATGTCATAAGGTATTGTTCTATTACTTGCGACTGCATACACGTTCACGAGTTACAGTCTGAAAAAAACAGTGTGTAATAAAACTGAATCATTTGAAACCCACTTTGACTTGTTTCTGTTCCATCTAACCAGATACGCAGGATTTGTCCGCGACGTTCAAGCTGAACTGTATGCCACATGTTGTCCGACACAATTCCAGGAAGACTAAATGCCTGAGTTAAGTGAAAATCATGTGTAAAAAGCGTGAACACAAACTGGTTGATTATTAACGGTAAAATAGCACTAGTCAATACGTGACAACCTGGTATGGTTACCATTACTATGTCCGGTCTAGGTGAGGGCTAACCCCACAGAGGATCAGCCACTCTTGCCTTGCACAGTGCTTCTAGGCTTTTCACCGTAGAATGGCTCCACTTGCAGGATGAAATCTCTATTAAACATATCAAATGTTTCGCTGAATGGTTCTCGGCTGAGGTGGATGGAATACACAGACAGATGAACAGCTTGATGAGATCGTCCCCTTTGATTGTGACTTTTGTAAGTTTATTGATACGTGTTCACTTTCATACGGCTTATTGGCTTGTGCAAACGCATGTTAGATGGGATTTCAAACAGAGCAGCGACTTATCTTGGTATATCGATTTCCTCTTCCCTTTCTGGATCACGTAAGTTGACTATTCTGCCAAATGTAAGTCAAGAATAGTTATTTTGTTGCTACGTGTTTGGTTATCGAATGACTCCCAAGTTTGTTGCATAATTTGGTAAAATTTATTTATAGCCAACAGTTCTCATCGATTTTCTCGCCTGTGGCTCAATCCGAAATTTCCAAACGCCAGTTCATATCCTTCAAGTCAGCCTTTTACTTAATTAAGCCTAAATTTTGTTTTGTGTACACAGAGTATTTTTAAATTTCATACTAAAAGTGTACAAGGCGTTGATATTTCGGGCAATGAAATATCAAATATTGTGAGCTCTCTAATTCTAAATCACTTTTGCTCCCCGAAATCATGCTAATCGTAAACAAGTTCATCCATATGAACCATATAATCACCCAAAATCACTCGGTTCATTGTGTAATCCCACTAGTTCTATCCTTCTACTTGCACGTTTCTGTGACTCTTGGGGCTTATAGTCTTTCGGTTGATTTCTCCGTTTCCGCGAGAGTAAAAGTCATTGTTGGGCTTTGGACGTGATCGAGGAAAACACGGTCAGAATGTTGTAGCATCGTCGACTGAACGCATGGACACTATACACTTCGAGTGCATCTTGGAGACTGTTGTCTTCTGGACCCGCAAGAGAGCTTTGTCGGCGATTCACACCCTTGTCGTAGCGTCTCTGCGTTCTCTGTCTCTCCTTCAGTCTCCGTATACCGTGAGTGGTTCGGAAAAGACGATGGAATTCGCGTTAAGGCCAGGATCAGATCCTCACGTGCCGGTCTTTATCTCTAGTTGGTCGTGCGCATTGTCTGCTGCGCAAGGGTATGTACGTTGTGCACGTCGGTGCTGGTAGGTTGCATTTTAGGAATTCGAACGTCCTAGGTTCAGCGATAGCCGAGAAACTTTCGAACGCCGGTTAATCACAGGCCGAATATCATTGAAGATCTCCCGATTACGGAACTGATTTGCACACACATACATGCACTATTTCGATGAGATATGAAGGCAATTCACTTGGAGTTGTATTTTGTTAGTTCTACAACGGATTAATTAGTGTGAATTTTGAATACATCGCCAATAATCCAATCAGGCAGAAAAACTAAGCAAATCCCAAACGTCAAGAATCAGCGCACCTGTCCAGGTGAGCACTGGGCAGTCACGATTGTTCCGCAGCACTCAGTGTCACTCAAATTCCGTTCAGTGGATTGCTGGTGAATGATGGGAAATTTTCGCTATATTTTTGCGGTGAACAGCAGGATAAATGAGGGATAGTTTTGGGGCCGACAAGAGAAATATGTTGGTCACTGTAGGTGGACACGTTCTGGACAGTCATGGTACATGGGGCTCAGTAGGACTCAATAGGTTAAGCTGAAGTAGGAAGTCGAGATTGTCCACCTTCGTAGAACGTAGTTGGTGTACAACCTCATATACATCACAGGTTTTTTTGTTTAATAACCGCTCGAATTGGACCAGATCAAGCATATACTTTGTACGAGTGGGTGCAACTGTTTAATATCCGTTGGTCGGTTTGATGCTTTTCGGGGGTATTTATCAGAAAGGGACGGGTTAAAATAGATCATTTTAACTTCAGGGCATATTTTATCCACATCAGATCCCAAGCTACCAGCTCTGATGCGTCTGTCACTCTGCGGGGTATACAAATATGGGAAACTTTATTCAGCTTTTTTTCAGACAAAGTCATAGAACGGAGTGCATTATCAGTTGGTTGACATTCATGATTGAGTTTAAACGTTGAGGGTCGAGAACTAAGTTCACTGTCGGTCACTGGCCGGAGTGGCGCGGTTCCAACGCTCGCCAAATTATGGATTCAACCCGGCTAAGGAGAAAAACAGCTTGATTCTGGTGAATCCGATCCTTCCGGTGACGGATCAATCTGTGTAAGATGATGCCAAAGAAAGCCTTGGCATGTATAGACAATTGGTTGATGCCCCATTGCTTTCTGCACGATATTCTTGCACCCCTTTTGGATCAAGGAACCACTGTCGAGGCGCTGCATTTTGTTGGAAATTTTTCATCGGGGATTAGGTCCGTTGGAGAGCCTCGACGGATTCCCCACTTCTGAAGGGTTCAAGATGCCATCAGTCTGATCCAGTACTTTGTGACATTGAATCAATGAGATTGCATGCTGAACTTTCATTGACGATGGCCAACTGGTGTTTATGTATCTCTAGGGTCCAGTTAGTCATTCTGGAGTGTCATCTAATTGGGCACATCTCAACTGCCCTTCGAAATATTCAGCCCGTCACTCAAGAGGATGTTTCTGTGAATACACTGAGGTCACATCATTTTATCAGAACATTTCACAACCATCCATCCTCTTTGAACCGCTTGGTTGGATTTACTGGGGTAGGAAGAAGAGGCTATCCACCATAAAAGCCTTCTGCATTTCCTAGGGTTTTGCGATCCACAGCGCTAGCTTTCAATCCTAAAGCTCCTAAATATTCGGCATGTAAGGGATATGCATGCGCCAACACATTTGGTTGTTCCGAGTTTAGGTTTCCTGGCTTTAATCTGCGCTACTGAACATAACGACGTCCAGTGCTCATGGGGTGCGCGGAAAACACCAGGTAGACGTTCTGAAAGTAAGTAGGTATGGCTTCTATCACCCTTATCCAGTCGTCATCTATATCACCATTGTTACGTTGGTTAATGTGTACTGCTAATCAAACCAAACGCAGTATTTCAAAGCTACTGAGTCGCCTCGCAGGTGGTGAACTGAACGGATTTGCATAAAACAGCGCTTTCCAGTTGGGAAGCGGAGAGATACGCTGGCCTACACAGCGCCGTGATCGGAGTCAAATTGGGTACCGCAAAACCGACGACAGTTCTGCATAGAAGCTTCCCATCGGTAATTAACTGCCACACGGCGCAAATGAATCCACAACTCGTTTGCAGTGTACGGTCCCCCAGTTACACGGTGTGCGCGCTTGCGCTGAAAGTTCGTCCTGGATAGGAATAAGTGATGTTCCGCACATGACTGAAAAATGCGTCTACCGTTATATGTTCGGTCATCGTCAACCTCGAATCGACCTCCAAGATTGGCCTTATCAGGATTTATCATACCACCTGCCAAAAACGTCACCTGTACATCTTACTGACCGAAGTAACGAAGGCAAATCATGACAGACGCTGTCATTCTCTGCACCAGAGCCCGCGTCTTTCAGAACGTGTGCAGACAAACCCCGAGCTGTATTGATATCGATCAAAACAGTCAACTTAATGGCTCGAAGACAAAATTTTATTCGAATTCGATCCACTGAGGCGCACTCGGCTATGCACACCTCCTACACCATAGATATCATGAGTCATTGCACTTGGATCACCAGACAGCTGAACAGTGAAGCGCGACCGGATAGGGATAAACAACCGGATTGAGATACCGAAGACCCGTGTCAGAGATATAAGATGCATTGATCAAAAGAGGGAACAACCGATGAGCAAGACCTACCTGTTACAAAATTTGATGTGGGGTAGAAAAGTTGAAATCCGCAATGCGGAAGATATTTTGTGCGTCTAATAAAGGTTTATTTTTATTTACTTTATGGGAGAGAAGCTCGAATAAGAAGCAAAGATTAGGCGATTAACAGCTAATTAACTCGGACTTGGGTAAGAAGACTTGGGTGAAGAGGAGCCAGTGGATGAAGACATTTAAGGGCGAATGATACTTCTTGGTTGACCGTACCGAGGAAGGTTTGAGTGAGGTTCCACATCTTGAGCATTTTACTCAAAAGTCTGGCCCAAAGTCAGTGGGAGAACATAGTGTTTTGTTCAGGACCCCTAGCCCTTGTCCCTTTTTAGGGTTAACTTTGGAAGCATTTTACTCAAAGTCTGGCCCAAAGTCAGTGGGAGAACATAGTGTTTTGTTCAGGACCCCTAGCCCTTGTCCCTTTTTAGGGTTAACTTTGGAAGCCAGAGAAGAGTAAAGCCAAGGTAGAATATGCGTACGTTTATAAAAATGAATGAAGGGACAGAAAAGACATGCATTATTCAATCACAAAGAATGAGGGCTTGGTAGCCCTATTAAACTCAAAGCAGATCCCAGCTAAGTCTTTCCTGAGTGATATTCTTCAACTGAGTCTTTTACCCACAGTCTATCTGGGTTTTCAGTTGATGCGATTTTCGGCATATCGCAATATATTTTCTCGACGAAAAGCCATCAACATGGCTGTTAAAAACTCTTTAACAGCGCACGACAGAGTTTCGCCTTCTCGAAGCTCATCAGATTGTGGGCCATTGAGGAAAACTTGGCAACCTTGAGAGAAAATGTATTGTGATACCCCGAATGTCTTGCCAACTGAAACATGAAGCGGATTTTTGTGTAGCTCACTTAGTCGAATATTACAAACGGGATTTAGCTGAGTTCCTCGTCAAGGCCGTACTGGTGGATACTACTGAGGAGGCATGCTAGTAGTATGTATTTTTCTCGCAAATCCACTTCGCATCGATTGAAAAGTGGGAATTATTTCGCAATTTGTAGAACTGCTTTGTAGAATTCGCTCACGTCTGAATAATGGTCAACGAGCATCTAGGAAAGT